TACATTAAGACTGAAAAGTTTTCGGAAATTCTCATTTAAAATTCGCGCGCTGTATATTTTTCGATATTTTAAGTTTATGTAGTTTGGCAGCACTGTCCTTAATTACTATGCCAAAAATGAGCGCGATCTGTCAGACAGTTCGTTTACGGCAGCTGTTGAAACCAGTTCCCCTCAGTAGTGCGTTGCGAAATGTCTTCGACGGTCGTACGACCGTCCTGAAAGGCTTTGTACCACTCATAAACTTGAGTTTTCGATAAAACTGATTCCCCATAAGCCTTTTGTAGCATTCGCAACGATTCTGCACACGAAATTTCGTTCGAAACACAAAATTTGATGCAAACTCTTTGTCCAATATTTTTTTCCATTGTTTTTTTCGCAACGCACTACTGAGGTGAACTGGTTTCAACAGCTGCCGTAAACGAACTGTCTGACAGATCGCGCTCATTTTGGCATAGTAATTGTCCTTAATTGCTTCCAAACTACATAAACTTAAAATATCGAAAAATATACAGCGCGCGAATTTTAAATGAGAATTTCCGAAAACTTTTCGGTCTTAATGTATAATCAATAAAATTAGTTTCACATGCCCGTGCCACATGTTTTCCTTTATTAAATTAAAATTGTAAAATACAGCGTTTTATTTCTTCAAAATTTCACTTATCTTTGCTTTGTGTAATAACTTTTTAGATAACGCATTTAAATAAGTTATTGTTAGTTACGTGTTTTCTATCAAATAAATAGAAGAATTATAATGTGCATCGAAACCTTTCAAAGTAATTGCGCTTCAAGGTCCAGTCAATTAAAAAATTGTTGAATAATTTTTACGTATCACCACATATAAGAATATCGATGCAACAAGTTACATACTATAATTTTTTACTTCTCACACACATAGTGTGAAAATGCATACAAGATTAAATTAGATTTAAGTCCGGGTCACTTGCGTTACCCTAGGATTCTTGTTTTAATCTGTCACTCCTCTTAGAAATTCGATTTTTGAGTTCCTCTACGATACGTTTATTCCTTATTCAACAGTGACCTATTTCACTTGAATCAATTTTTTTTTTCAGAATTTTATTAGAGTTTCAATATCAATTGCTGATGGTTCTTCCGGGTACATAAAAAGCAGATGTCAATTTTGCAGTAATTGTCTGTCTGTCTGTCACTATATTTATATATTTCTTAGTCTTTCTGTCTGAATAGTTATAACCAGACAAGTTTTTGAGTTCTTATGTTTTGAGTTATTTGAATAAATTTTTTCAAATTTTGATAATGAAGACTGTAAATAGATGAAATTAATTCATTATTATTTAATTTGAATAAAATTTTTGTAATTTTGTCAATGAAGGTGTTTAATTAAATGAAATTGGTTTGTTTATAGACCCCATACAAACTTACTATATAAAATTCGATTATATTACTATTGAAACTAATCATGATCACGATTTTCCAGGGATATTTTTAGAAAAATTATCATCTGATTTTTTAAAGCTATTAGTAGGTATATTTTTACATTTCCCATTTCCCATTCAGTACTGTTAGTTCTTAGTTAGCATATTAGTGAAATATTTGAACTAGATTGAGTACTGTATGGAGGCGTGAGCGAAATCTTGGACTATATTTCGTAAAAAAAATGATTTGAATTTTAATTGAATTAAATTAGCAGTGTGTTTATTTTGAATTAAATATAATAAAAACATTAATTTATTTACATTTATTTAAATTCACTTTGTAATGAGTAACATTTCAATGCCTTGCTTAATTACTTTGTGTGAATAGTGCTGAGAATGTTTTTAAATATGTATTGTAATTTGTATTCCTCAGAAAATAAATTTGTATACATAATAAAATAGTGTTTTTTGCTAATAGTCGATTTTTACTGCATAAGGGTTCATAAAGATTCTTATAAGACAAAATTTGTATTGTTACTTGTTACTTCCTCATACCAAAATTTGTTTTCAAAATATAAATTAGTTACTGAAATATAATATAATTATAAATTTCTTTTCAAAATATAAATAAGTAACTGAAGATATAACACTTATAGTAATTTAATTACTTCATAATATCAGAAATGAGCTACGTGACCTTATTATGCGGAATAAATGATATGACAGTATAAGTCATTATATCATTTTCGCGCCAAAATTTTTAACACACTTCACTAATTTTTTTTATTATCTAACCAACGTATTTTCTAACAGAAAAACATCTCATTATTTTTAACGGAAACTCTTTTAAAAAACTTAAAAAAAAAGTATGTACAATAACATCCTTTTAAATATCACCAAGGAAGTTAATACACAAAAAGACGATAGATACATTATTCTTGCATAATTGTTAGATGTTATGTACGGACTTATGTATAAATATGCAAAGAAGGAACGAGGATCTTAACGTGATTAGAAAAAAGTGTGCACCTAATGAGCGAAAACAGCGCAAAATCGAAAAGATTTCAAATATATTTTCAAGGGCGGAGCAGATATATTTGCTCTCTCTTTCTTTTTGCTAATTGTAAGCGCTTATGCTCTTAAAATCTTTTCTTTTTGAGTGCCATAGTAAAGTAACTCAAAGAGTGTACGCAACTTTCCAATAAGACAAAACTTCTTCACATTTCTTAATGAATTCTACATACCTACATATGTAAAGAAATAACAAATCAAAAAAACTGAAACGCTACCCTCCTCGTAAACAGACATATTTACAGACGAATCACACATTTTAGGTACTTTCACGTTCAAGTATCCCTCAGCATATGCGTAGCCAGAAGCTTATGTTACTCAGAGATACAAATTCTTGTGTTGTGATTTCAGTCACAGTTCAGTTTTGTGTGTGCATTTTATCGTTTGTTCGAATTAACCCTTTAACGCGACTGTCCTTGCAATGTGTTCTCCGCATGTGTGTTAGTTACACATTTGGTCTTACCGCGTTACAAAGCTAACCGCACCGCGAAAGTATCTTTAAGATTTTTCCCTCCAAGAAAGAAAAAAGAAACGCAACACAACACACACAACTGCGACTGCCTTAGCCACAATTGACTCAAGGGTTTCAAAGCTGTCCAACGACAATTTAAGAAAACAGAAGTTCGCCTGACCTCGACAAGAACGGATGAAGAAGTTAAAATTATTGTGCATTCATATTAAACACAAGCCTTAAGCGAACTTGACTTTTAAATAAAAAATAAAAAAATTAAATAAAATTAAAAAAAAAATTCGTCTAAATTAAAAACATTGTTTAATAGTGTATTTCTTATTTTTCATATATTTAATGAAGAAATTAAAATTAAAATTAAATAGTGTACAAAAAATATAATACATTTAGTGTAGTTCTTATTGAAGTGTTTAGTTTTTTTATTTCATTTTTTTTTTGTTTTTTATTTATTTTTGTATTTAATCCCTTTTACAGTTTTAAGTTGTGTAGTTTGCATGAGTTTTTAGTGTTTTTTGGTTTTTGCAATTGGTTTTTCGTAATTTCTTCGATTTTTTAAATAATAAAAAATCGTTATAAAAAAAATTTTTGCAAATTATGGAGTCCGTCACCGGGAATTCATTGTGTACAACAACAACGGCGGCGACTAGTACATCAACCCCAACAACAGTAACCGCAACAACATCAACAATTTCCGCAGCACCCACAAGTGCTGTAAACAGTAGCAGCAATGCTAATACCGGCAACACGACTTCAGTTGTAATGTGCAGTTCCAATCTGTCAAGTAGCGTTGCAAATTTACCCGCGAATCCACAAATTTTACAAGTTATTGATATCAAGCAAGATGATTCTAATAATATGTCACTGGCAAGCGCCACTTCAGATGGACAACGTTCACTCTCAGGTGCACCATCTGCTTCATCTAGTCCAATTTTAAGTCCACCTGGCAAAATATTTGGACGTAATGCAAATGGAACAAGTAAGTTTAATTATTTTTCTTTATATTAATTTAAATTAATTTAAACATAATTATTTATAAAATTTATAATGTGCTTTTAAAATACTTACCCAACTCAATGCTTTTCAAATGGCTTAGTTTTAAAACTTTTAATTATTTTTTTTTATTTGCATATTTTTAATAATGCCATTGGCAAAATTTAAAATTAAACATAATGTTTATTCATTTCATATACTACATTATTTATTATATCTCGTCAGTTATTCTTTTATTTGAAAAAGTTTTCAATTATTAGTTACAGCTGTGATTATTTCTGCTATAAGTTGAATGTGATAAATAAGGGTTAAAAATAATAATAGTGGAACACATGAATCCGCTTATAATTTTAATCAGGCATGTTGATTTTATAACTATAATGCATATATACAATTTTGAACTAAAATAATAAAAATTAAAAACAAAATAAAAAAATTATAAAAAATGAATGAAAAAATGTAAATATTAACTATTTATATATATATTAATATATATAATTAATGTACATATATATAATATTTTTTATTGATATTAAATTTTAATATCAATTCCTAATATTTTTTCTTGACTATCAAATGCTATATGAAAATAAATTTTTAATAATTTAAACGCATTAACTTTTATTAAATAATTTAATTATTAATTAATAATTTAGGTAAATACAATATTTCATTTATTTTTCTAATGCAAATTTTTTTATTTATTAATAACAAAATAATTTTCAAAGTGGAGCATAAATAGAAAATTTTTTTATTTCATTTGAATTGTTATAAAAAATCAAGTATTTTATTATCATCCACTTTAATTATTTTTGTATATAATTTTATTACAATATTAATATTCTTTTACATATAAAAAATCACAACATTGCAAGAGCTTGCAAGATTTTATCAGCAAATGTCCTTCTTCAACCTTAGTGTGTACTGCAAGGAGCTAGAAATTTTGTAAAAAATTTCCTGTTAACTTAACTTAAAATTAAGTAAAAATACATTCAATTAACATTCATTAGTTTTTGGTCTTTGAATATGGTTTTGGGTAGATTCGTTAGGCTTGGTTCACAAGAAACCAAGATATCAGTGAAGATTGATACACTTTAAAACGAAATATCCCGTGTAATGAAATACTGTTGTCTCCACTAAAATTGAGAAAAAAATTACGGAGCGGTAGACTAATCTACTGAGATTTTGAATTCTATTAGTGAATTTAATTCCCTATAGTTAACTGAATGCATTGTAATGAAATATTACAATTGATCCAGATAAAGTAATATACCTTTGATTAAATCTAAAAACTTGCTTTGAAAATGAATTCTTTTTTTTGTATTATGTTAGCCCCCTTCCAAAGTAAATTCTGTAATAACAATAATAGTTGATCGTTTATGCAATAGTGCCTCACAAACTCAAAGCATATTCTTTGAAATTTTATTAAATTAAAAATCATGCATTAGTATATGTTCCGAGTTTTATAAGATAATAATGCAACCCACAGTTTCCAATTACAATTCCTGCAACGATTTTTAAGTTGTTTTTATTTAGTTTTATGCAGTCTTTAAATCATCTTAGGTTAAAACTCCTTATAAATAATTGTAAATATGAAGTTCCTGGAAAATTGTCCCATTATAACTTACCGCATATTTCTCCTTTTTTTCTAAATATTTGGAAAAAAATTACCTCTTCCTAATCAACAGTACGGTTTCTGATCTACAAGTGACGAGGATGCGCCTTTTCGGATACATTGTACTAATATAACTTTCTGTCCATTTTTACTTTTTTACTGAATGAGTGAAAAAAATTGTTCACTTCCTAATCCACAGAATATTTGTAGATGTACAAAGAACGAAGGCGCATATTATAAGCCTGTGTCAAAAATAAATTTTACTTGGTATGCCCTTACCTTGAAACCTCTTCAACCTCATTGCAAGTCAACTATTATTTAAAATCATAACAGTCATACCTACGAGTTATACCAATATATGGTAACACAATGGGCCTTTAGACCTAAGTGGATTACTTGGGATAACTGGTATAACCTACCTACCTATTTATACCTATGATTCCTAAATAACTCTGTATTAATTTTTTATTTTTGGTACGATTAAAATTAAAATGATCATTTTATTCTAATTCAAATATACCTATATACGTATTAGTTAGCTTTAGATCGTCTTCAAAGAAAAATTAAAAATTTAATGCCTTAATTCAAACTGAGTTGGAGTGTAAGATTTCAATATTTTTTGTATTAATTAATTTTTAATTTTATGAACTAAAGAGCGTTTTACAAAGTTTCTTCTAAAGTTACTTAGTTATGGGTATAAAATAATATAAATACTGAAGTCAATAAAACTATAAGTTAGTAAATACTTTTTTTAATTTTAATTCAAATTATATGTCTTATGTTGAGTTTTGTTCGAGTTAGTGCAACTGGACACTTTTAGTATTTCTTAGCTGGGGTGTTTCTACATGGT